GGGAGGATCCAGCAAGGGAGGATTTAGAGGTGCAGAGGAAGGCGGAGGATGAGGAGGAGGAGGAGGGAAGGTTGTTCGCTAGAGCAGACAAGTATAAAGAGGCAAAGTTGGGGCTGCTCCAAAACCGATCACGAGGGAACGAGTCCGACTGCACCCCAAGCCACTGGGGGAGATGGATCTGAGTGGTTTTGAGCCACGACCACCTCCAGTGGATCCTCTGAAAGAGAAGAGTAAAAAGGAGATGGAGGCTGTGTTGAAGGGGAAGAAGAAGAAGATGATGGACAAATATGAGGAGGGGCCAGCATTGAAGAAGATGAAGGAGGGGGTGGTGGAGGTTGCCCCAGAGGTGGGGCTGGAAGAGACAAGGGGTAGGGTGGAGACTGCCATGGGCCACGAAGTACAAGTAGAAGGTGGGGCGACTGGTCCTGAGTAGGGAGCAGAGCAACAGCCTAAGGGGGTCCTACGCTCCAAGGAGAAAGAGAGAGGGCTAGGCTGAAGACCGCTATTTACCATGCCCCAGTAGTGTCCGGGTAACTGGAAAGAGAAGGAGTTGAAGCCAGAACTACTGCAGATCGCCTCTTACGGGTGGTAGAGGACGCAGCCGCGCGTTCGGTGGCCGGTTTCACTGAAGCTGAACTGCTAAGGGGGTTGTGCTCTGCCTAGATGGAGGCGACTGCCTTAGCAGGAGCCCTACTGAACAAGGCGACGGCTGCAAAAAACGAAGTAAGGCCATTGAAGGCGAAGTTGGAGGCGGTGGAGGCCCAACTTGAAAGTTTGAGGAAAGAGACCGCAGGCTGGAGGAAGACCGCGCGGAGTGCGTGTGTTAGGGGGCTAGAAAAGGCCCAGAAAGCCAAGATGATGGAGGTGTTAGCGATGGTGCAAAGCTATTTCGCGACCGTGCCAATGTTGAGCTGCTCGTAACCAAGTTAGGGCTGGAGACGGCGCGCTGTAAGGTGGTGTCGCTCGAGTTCCAACTGGCTGACGAGCAGAAGAAGCTGGAAGAGGCCCAGAAAGCCCACACCGTTGCCAACGAACGGTGGGATGAGGCCATGGTCTGCAACAAAGATCTGTCTGCTCAGTCGATCAAAGAAAAAGAAGAAACAGATTTGAAGATCGCTAAGTTGGAGAGGGTGCTGGCAGACGAGCGGGCCAAGTCGGTGGCAGAGAGGGTGAGGTTGGAGAAGGCCTTGAAGGATGAAAAGGCCAATTTGGCATCTGAGAGGGCGGCGTACCCCGACCTATGTGTTGCAGCGGTAGAGCAGTTTAAGGGGTCCGCCGCCTTCCAGATGGCCGTTGATGCCATGATCGCCAGCAGTTTGGCGAGAGAGGGGGATAGGGGGGCTAGCCCGTCGGGAGCGACTGTTAGGAGCAGGAGTGATCGATCAAAGAAAAAGAAGAAACAGATTTGAAGATCGCTAAGTTGGAGAGGGTGCTGGCAGACGAGCGGGCCAAGTCGGTGGCAGAGAGGGTGAGGTTGGAGAAGGCCTTGAAGGATGAAAAGGCCAATTTGGCATCTGAGAGGGCGGCGTACCCCGACCTATGTGTTGCAGCGGTAGAGCAGTTTAAGGGGTCCGCCGCCTTCCAGATGGCCGTTGATGCCGCGATCGCCAGCAGTTTGGCGAGAGAGGGGGATAGGGGGGCTAGCCCGTCGGGAGCGACTATTAGGAGCAGGAGTGAAGAAGAAGTGATCCAAAGCCTCCAGCGGTCGGACTTCTATAAGCATGAGATGGTTGAGTTTTGGGACAGCGGCTGGAAGACTTTCAAGCGTAAAGCAGAAAAGCTGTTCCTAGACTTGGACTTCAGCAATGTAAGAATAGATGAAGACGATGTGGCCCAGACCCCCCTTGACGAGGGTGTTGAAGAAGAAGACCTTGCATCAAGCGATGATGAATGAGTGATGTGAATAAAATTTGTAAAGAAATTTTTGGTTGTTGTGGTTTTGTTGTTTTTGTTTTTTTTTTTTTTGTAATTTCTATAGTGAACTTATGTGTAAGTTTGTGAATAAATAAAATTATGAGTTGTGTTTTTCGTACTATTGTCTTTATTTTTTGTGGATATGAAAAGAATGAGAATGGTCATTCAAATAAGGCTTGTGTATAAATTATAGTGAAAGCTGAGAAGTAAGGGGCCAATCTAACTTGTGAGAAAACTGTGACGCAAAGAATGTTAACAATGAAAATGTCGAAATGTAAAGGTCTTAAAATGGGAGAGTCTTGATATGTTAAATCATGTGGTCAGAGTGTTGAGGAATGAGGGATTGGGTTGGGAGATGAAAGTTAAAAAAAGGAAAAAAATGTAAAGAGGCGTAAAAGCATGGACCTGCAATTTGACTAAGTATGGAAACTATGTTACAAACATGAAGTTGCAAGAATGCTTGAGCCATAATTAACTCAGTCTGGTAGAGCCCTTCGTGCTCAGGCTGGCTAAGGCTGTAAGTAACTCAGTCTGGTTGAGCCCTTCGTGCTCAGTCGGGCTGAGGCTGTAAGTAACTCAGTCTGGCTGGGTCCTTGGTGCTCAATCGAGCTGAGGCTTTAAGTAACTCAGTCTGGCTGAGACTGCAAACAGGGTGTTATTGAAATATCACACAGATAACTGAGATATAAGAGTGTTGTCATTTAAAGCGTAGCCCATTGATCACAAATTTACACCATGTAAGAAAAGGACAAAAACATCCAAGTGCGTAGATTGTCAAAAAGAACATACAGCAATTGATCAATACAGAAAATAACACTTTTATTGAAAATAACGCTTCAAGTGCTCGGTGTTCCATGGATGGGGGAGGTCTCGGCCTTCTATGTCCTGAAGTCGGTAAGTTCCCGGACGAGATTTGGCCGTAACAACATAAGGTCCCTCCCACTTGGCTGCTAGCTTGCCCTTAGCTGGATTTTTGGTGGCAAGAGTTACTTCCCGCAAAACAAGGTCCCCAACGGAGAACTCCCTCTGTCGGACTTTGCGGTTGTAGTATGTTCTCATTTTCTGTTGATATGAGGCCCGCCTGACAGCAGCGGTCTCTCGGAGCTTTTCAATCAGGTCCAGGTCGGCCCGACGCAATTCTTCAGTTAGTTCCGGATTCGGGTGCAAAACCCTTGGGGTGGGCAGGCCGATTTCCACTGGGATGACCGCCTCAGCGTCGTATGTTAAGCGGAAGGGGATCTCCCCAGTGGGGGTTCGGGCGGTAGTGCGGTAGGCCCAGAGTACGTTCGGTAATTCCTCAGCCCAGAATCCCTTAGCAGCTTCCAACTTAGTTTTGATGATCTTCAGAAGAGAACGGTTAGTGACCTCAACTTGGCCATTGGCTTGGGGAAGAGAAGCATAGTTGGATTTGAAGCTCTGCACAGAATTTCTTGAACTTGGCATTGTCGAATTATTTGCCATTGTAGGAGACGATGCCTTGAGGGATGCCAAATCGGCACACGATCGACTGCAAGATGAATCTGGTTGTGTTCTGCTCGGTTATTGTAGCGAGGGGTTCCGCCTCCACCCATTTAGTGAAGTAATCAATGGCGACGATTGCGAATTTGGTTTGGTCTCGGCCGGTGGGCAATGGGCCAACTAAGTCGATCCCTCATTTGGCAAACGGGTAAGGATCACTACAACAAAATGGTACATTAATGACAAAATCACTTCGTCTCCAATAGTGAAATTTTCGTCACTAAATTGATCCGTGACGAAATAATTTCGTCACCACGTTCGTCATCAATTCGTCGTCACTAAAAGTACCTGATGACGAAAATTTATTTTGTCACCTATTATTGGTATTTGGTGACGAAATAATTCGTCACTAAATGTTAAATATTTTGTCACCTATAACATCCATTTCGTCACTAGAATTAAATAAACTTCTATTATATTTGTTTTGGATGACAAAATATTTTGTCATTAAAAATAGCAATAAAATTTTTAGTAACGAAAATATCGTCACCAAAAGATGGAAAAAAAAGATTCTTCAGTGACGAAAACTTTTGTCAACAAATATTTTAATTTAGTAATGAAATAGTAAATATGTGTAACGAAATTATTTGTTGGGAATAGAAAGTTTTAGTGTCAATTTTTTTTCGTCGCCAATAATAAATAAATTTTAAAAATTGAGGGGAGGGTTATATTTGTAATTTATATATTTTTTTCAATAAACGATACCTGTACATTTTAATAATCTATTAAATAAAATATCTAATACAAATCAGTATAAAATTAAACTGTTCATTATCATAAAACAACCCAAACAAAATACATGTATCATAGTATCAAGAAATTAATATATAGCATCCAAACTATAACATCTATTCTAGTAAAATCAAAAACTACAACACAATCAAAATAACTTGTGCATTTTAATAACCTTCTGAATATAATATCCATTACAAATCATTACAAAAACTTGTTCATTTGGTAACATCAACAAAAACCTGTTCATTTTAATTTATTCAATAAAATATCAACAAAAAGATTAGATACATCACAATATAATCATAACCCACAACAACATAGTCAAAATACATGTTTGGTAATATCAACAAAAAGTACAACTACACTGTGATGGATGTGTCTGGTAATATTAACAAAAAACTCTTGCTATGCAGGTTACCAAATTCGTTCATCTCCAATCCGCCATTTAAAAAAGAAAAAATAAAAAAACAACAACAACAACAACAATAAAAGGTTAAGGTAACCATTCACTAAATATGTTAATATGCAATCTAAAAGAGAAAAAATAAAAATTTCGAAGTAAATTTTAAACCAAATTTTACCGTGCTTGTTCCGTAAATTTTTACAACTTACATTAGTGAATGTGAATCCTCTTGAGTGCAAGTTTCAGAGCTTCAAGACATTGTTTCATTGACCTTGATATCTGGAAGTCCATTACCAAGCTCAACCTCACCCTGTTTCCAAAGAAATTAAGTTTGTCTTCCGACAGAGAAAGCAAGTCAAAAGGCATATTGAATCAGTAGAACCTTGTTTCTCTGGTGCTCTTTATTGTTGGGATCAAAAGAATCAATGATTCACCACTCATAAGCAGCAAAACATTGGCTAGGCTTCAACACTCTGAAAATCTCTTTGTAGCAATCCACCTAGTTAACACCCACCCACACACACACACACACAAAGGATTAAACAAATTATATATAAATAGAGGGACCTATACAACCTGATATGTAAGATTAGACAAATTTACACATGAACCTAATGAGCATTCTGACAGCATACCACATCTGGTGCATGACAGGTAGCTTCTATTGCAATTATTGCATCAAAACTGTTGTCAGAAAATGGCATATTCATGAAGTCAGCCTTCACATAGCTGCAGTTGTTGTCCACTCCTGCAATGCGGTTCAGTTCCTGCAGAGCAACCAAAGCACTCAAAGCATATAAACAAGCAAAAAACTCTTAACTGATTAGTGGTTATGAACAAGAAAGATAGTTGAATTTTAACTAGGAGATTCCACTATAATAGTATGTATTCAAAATCAATGCAGATATGAAGAAATAGTTCTGTTATACACCAACATGAAAATTACTTACTGTTCCTCTTGTTATTTGATACTCATTGTTGTTTATCCCTGTAACGTATGTATCACTACACAAGGTCATCAATATCAGTGCTATAACTTGAAAAAATGGACAAAATTAACAAAAAAAAGTTAAGTTTCCAATTTTGTGGAGGTCTAATGTGATTCTCAGAAACAGTAAGGGGAAAGAAAAGAAAAGTAAAGTGAGAGAAAAGGGAGATGGTGAACCACAACAAACTGTAGAAAGAAGTAGAAAATCTGGTACAAATCTTGCCTATCTCCCATCATGACCCCGAATTAAATGAAGAAAATAAGAAAGGTAGGTGCTGCAATGCAAAGGTGTAAGATGCACTAAACTTGCACTCGATGGCTTTTTATATTCAAGTGATATACAACAAATGTGAATCCTCTTGAGTGCTACAAATAATTTAAGCACATTGATTTCACGATTCCTTTCTCTTTCACAAAACCAACTCAAAGCTATGCAATAATGGATCCTTAGAAAATAAAGTTATGTATGACATGTATACTTGTCGAGAAAAAAGAAAAAAGAAAGTATGATGCATAACCTGAAGTAATCCTTCTCTATCTTTTCTATTCCCTATTTCTTTATTTTTATTTTTTAATTTCAATTTTGTGTTAATAATGAAAATCATAGCTTGTGTTACACGTGCTCTTCTAAATTTGTTAATTAACCATATCAGACACTCGACACTTGAGTAAGGATATGAAATATTTGTCCAATATGTCTAGTTGGACATGCACATTGAATATGCCTAAAGGCATCTCCAGCCCTTCACTTTACTCGTTTCAAATGTACATTTGAGCAGAAATCCCCTCCAAAACCTGTGTTTGTACGAATTCATAACATGAGAGCAGAAATCCCCTCCAAAAAATGGTCAAGTGTGTTTCCGAAAATAGACCATCCATTTTTTCAAAGACACACATGAGCCCAATATTAAGAATTCAAGGAAATGAGCCCAATATTACTTACAAAAGCATTTAACAGATGTTTCCTAATACAAGTACTATAAGAACTTTAGCTATTCCTAAATCAGTAAGCTTTAGCTATTCCTAAATCAATAAAAACTTAATTACGTCAGACCATGAAAACTTAATTACGTACTATAAGAACTTCAGGAAAAACATGAAAATTAGGTTAGACCATGAAAACTTAATTAGTACTATAAGAACTTTAGCTATTCCTAAATCAGTAAGCTTCTGATTAAAGTACACCAAGACAAGCACACATAGAGATAAAGGCTGTCAGTTTTCCAGCAAATGGCATTTCTAACCTGTTCCTTTTCTTCCTCAACAGACCACGGCCTAAAGGGTAAACATAAAAGCTGTCAACATCAAGGACAACTGAAGTTCATTCCACAAAAGGCTCTAACGCTGTGTTTGGTTGGAGGATTTGAGGAGGGATTTGGAAAAGGAAGGGGAAAGGGAAAAGTTAGGTGAAATGTAAATAAAATATACCTACATTTCACCTAGTTTCACACACCTTTTCCATTTTCCTTTCCAAATCCCTCCCCAAATCCCCCAACCAAACACAGCATAAATGTCTATCAAACCAATTTCCAAATTCTCAACATCTCAATTTTGACTACTTTCAAAATTAAATATTCATTTGATGAAATATAAATAGTAACACTTTGGTGAAATATTGAAACTTTAAATAAATTATTGAGGCTTCAACCTGGACAAACTTAACTCTGGAATGCAAACTTAACACATGTTCTTTTTTTCTTTTTCTTTTTTTAATCTTCTTTTTCTATTTATTAATTTTTTAATAAATTAATAAATAAATAAAAACAAACTGGAAGAATAGTTTGTGTCAAAAAAAAAAACTAGCCATTTTTTAAACCAAATGAAGAAACTTTTGAGCTACAACAAACCTAGACATCATCAGTTTCTATCAGCACTTGGGTGAAAATTGCAAATATTGATTTTATAAAAGGGACAAACCACAACTCTGTAAAAAGCCAACAAAAATATGGTACCAATCATTTGCATTTTGATAAAGCATATAAGAAGCATACCAGTGATAATCCTCCTTGGTCCAAGCTCATTTACAAAGTCAAGTAGTCTAGACAAGGCATCAGGAGTATAAGCATAATCCACAATCACCCTGAATGCTTGTTCCTCATCTATCAACCCACACCGACCAGGAACTGAATCAACCAAGTTAAACACTAAACCCCAAATTGAAAAGCCCCAAATTTTGAAATTCAAAAACCCTAAGCCCTAATTTTCAAATTGAAAAGCCTCAAATCAAAACTCAAAACCCTAGTATCTAAACATGCACCTGAAATTGGACGGTGGGAGGGAGAGGTGAGACGGCTCTGTTTGCTTCGTTCGCGGGTCTTCGTCGACCGGAAGGAGAAGCGAAGACGAACCGGGCTGCGAAGTAGGTAGCTCCGAAGGACTGCTCGAGCAACGCAATGGCCGTCACGAGCGAAGCAATGGCTGTTGCTCTAAAGGACTGCTCTTCCCTCCGTCTCTCTTCATGGTCTCTTTTCCCTCCATCTTTTCTTCATCTTCTCTCTCTCTCTCGAACACATCTCCCTGTAGTCTTTTTCTATTTTTCCCTTTTTCTTTTTTTTGGGACCAGGGAGTAGAAATTTAGACAAAATTTTATGAGGAAATTTTAATTGAGGCAAAATTTTGAAGGGCTTGTTTCAAATATTGAAAAGAAATTTGAGACAAAATTTTGTAGTAAAAATTGGTTTTAATTTATATTTTTTTAAGTTTTATTATTTATGTTTGTAATTTTACCTTTATTAAGGTTTAATTAATATTTTGAATGAAAATAAATAAATTTAAGAAATTTTATGATTTTAATCAATAAATAATAATTCTATTAAAAAATAATTATTATTATGTTCTTAATAATTTATTATTCAATTATTAATATTTTTTTTTGAACTGATTATTAATAATTATTTCAAATCGTAACAAATTTAATTAATATTAGGAAACATTCAAAACTACGTAGTTTTAATACAAAATATGGCATAGAGAGAGAGAGAGAGAGAGAGAGAGAGAGAGAGAGAGAGAGATACCTGTTGTAGCGAGCGCCGATCGGCGACGTGCGGGTTAGCCAGTGCGACAAAGATGGACGGACGGTGTGACGGAGATGAATGGGTGAGGGGGTGATAGTAAAATACATGCATCTAAACAGAGAGATAGATATCTCTTGGTTCAATTTTATTTTTTATTGATTTTAAGCATTTGATGACAATATTTGGGTTTCGTCTCAAAAAATAATACATTTGGAGATGAAATTATTTCCTCTCTAAATTTTTTTTACAATGGTGATGAAAAATTTCGTCTCCAAAATAGCGCCAAATCTTCCGCTAAATTTTCCCAAGGTGAGAAATTGTTTTGTGATGAAAAATAAAATTTAGAGACGAATAAATTCTTTGTCACCAATTGTTTTATTTGATTTTAAGTATTTGCTGACGAATTTTGGTTTTCGTCTCTAAAAATAATACAATTGGAGGCGAAATCTTATTTTCATCACTAAAACATGTATATTTGGAGACGAAATATTTTTTCGTCATGCTTTTTCGTCACCATAGACATTTTTTGTTGTAGTGGATTGCAAAGTGTGATCAGTTTTGACGGAGGAGCATGAGAGATGTTGGCAATGCGTTGGCACTTATCACATTTAAGCACGAATTCAGTGGCATCTTGATTGAGGGTAGGCCAGAAGTAACCGGTGCGAAATATTTTGTGGGCTAGTGACCTGGCACCCGAATGATTACCCCATATACCCTCATGGACCTCCCTCATCACGTAGGTCGCTTGAGCAGGATTGAGGCATCGCAGGTATGGGCGTGAAAAACCACGTTTGTACAAGAGGCCGCTAATGAGAGTGTAGTTGGACGACCGGGCCCTAACTTTGGCGGCCTATTGTTTGTTGTCTGGTAGTTCCCCCTTTGTCAAAAATAGAAAAATGTCGGCCGCCCATGGAATAGGTTCGTTTTGGAGGAAGTGGACTTGCTACTAGTTTGGGGAAATGACAGGGTGGGCCAAATACTCGAGGCAGAAACCATGGCTGAGGTCGAACTGGTCTGCAGAAGCTAATTGAGCCATCTCATCTGCCTTGGAGTTTTCCGCCCGAAGGATGTGCTTGATGTGGAAAGTGTTGAAGAGGCGAGCAAAGGGGAGTGCAATATCCCTATAAGCCCGCATTGTGTCTTCCTTGGCATCGAATTCCCCCGTAATTTGTCCGACAATAAGCTGAGAATCGCTGAACACCCGGATAGGGCTGACACCAATGTCTCTGGCTAGGCGAAGACCTACTATCAAGGCCTCATATTCGGCCTCATTATTGCTTGCGTCGAACAAGAAGCGGAGAGCACACTTGAAATAACCACCGTCGGGGGCAGTGAGGATTGGACCAGCCCCACTACCTTCTTTGCGGGATGATCCGTCGACGTTGAGTGTCTAAGAATGCGGGTCTTCTGCCTCAGTAAGGGGTTCCGGGGGCGATAGGATCGTAGTTGGAGTGGGATTAGTGAATTCCAGGATGAAATCGGCAACAGCCTGCCCTTTGATCGTCGTTCAAGGTCGATAGGAGATGTCAAATTAGCTGAGCTTGACCAACCATTGCATAAGCTTGCCGGACAGCTCGGGTTGTTGCATTACCTTCTTCAAAGGTTGGTCAGTGAGGACCACTATGGAGTGGGCTTGGAAGTAAGGACGGAGTCGTCTTGAGGTGGTGACCAAGGCCAATGACATTTTTTCTAGCAATGGGTAGTTCTGTTCGGCGCCTCTGGGAGCCCGGCTAATTTAATAAATTGAGTGTTGTACTGAATTGTCCTCCCTGATGAGGGCCGCACTGACTGCAGTGCTCGAGACGGCTAGATAGAAAAAAAGGGGCTCACCCGTGAGTGCCTACGAGAGTAAGGGGGGTTGTTCATGCACTGCTTCAATTGTTGGAAAGCCTCTTCTGATTTGGTTGTCCACTCGAAAGTCTGCCAAAGAACTTTGAAGAAGGGGAGGCACTTGTCCGTTGCGCGAGAAATGAAGTGGTTGAGGGCGGCGACTCTGCCAGTAAGCCTCTGAACCTCCTTAACAGTTCTGGGTGACTGCATTTCTATCAAAGCCTTGATTTTTTCGGGGTTAGCTTCGAT